ATTTTTTTAACTTTTAATCTTAATTATTTTAAAATATATAATTAAAATAAATTCAAATAAATACATATTTAAAATATAATTTTATCAGAAATATTTTAAAAAATATTTAAAATTTTAAGATTTTTTCAATAGTTTAAAATTATAACTAATCGTGATTTATAAATAAACAGCAGTCAAACATGAAAAGAGTTTGATTAAAAACCGTTAAACCTCTGTTTATGAAACAAGCGAATAAACACTAATTTATATTTGAGAGTGGAAATATGTATTTACATATATATATTATTAATACATAAAAACTAAATTATGCTCGTAAATTATTATTATTATTTATTAAAGAGAATGAATCAAACTCAATATCTTTAATTAAAAAAAGATAAAATTTTCATCTAACTAAATACATATATTTTTAATAATTTAATAATTGCTGAAAACGTTTTTCTTCGCCAAAAAACAATCCTTAGTCGCGTGAGGGGACCCAAGGACAACCGAGGTCAGTAGGAAATCATAGGCATTAAAACAAAAGGGCAAAAAGAGAAAAGGATTGGGTTCATGATTGTAGGTGGAGCTTAGGAGCAGAAGATCAGGCATTCACGTTAGGCAAGAGGGGAATGGCCCCCAGGAAGAGGTGCTCTTGCAATCTTGCAAGCGTGGATTATGTGTGACAGTTTGTACAGCGAATTAAAGTGTGTCGGCGAATCTTTTATTTGATAAAAAACAAGGGTGCCCGATTTTTAGATTTTGCTGTTACATGTTGCTACCCAGTGTCCTTACGCTTCTTTAAGGAACACTGCCTTCCTTTGCCACCTCCTTCCTTCCTTACATTACATTAATTCTTTTCCCCCTTTTTGTTTTTCCTCCAAACTCAAATTTATGTATATTCTATATTTTACTTTCATATTGCACAAAATTTTGGGCTTTATTTATTGTTTTTTATTTGGCATTTCAATCAATTTTGGATTATATTTTAAAAAAAACATCAAATAAGTTTTCAAGTTTCATTTTAACTAATTTTTCAAAGATAAATAACAGCTCAAGGCCATTGAGGACCCATGAGGTCTACATGGTTCTAGACCCGGTTCCAAGGGGTCTTCCAATATGGCGAATGTTTCAAATTCCATTTTTTTTCTTTTCTCATAAAGCTACCTTTAGACTTGCGCATGCATCACGGAATTATTGTTCTCTTTTCTTAAAAAAATATATATATAGTGATTTTGATATTAGAATTTAGAATATAAGTATTTACAAGGAAATAAGAGGAATTTAAGCACAATATTAGGACGCGTTAGATTGATTGGATGGGTCTAAGGATACCGTAATAATGAATTTCCCTCTTGTTCTAATGTCATAGATGTCAAACAAGCTTGAATCCCACCTCATCTTTTTTAAACAATAATCACTGAGTTTAAGACTTTTTAGATTCCTGGCAATCATTTTCATAGAAAATGTAAACGGTAAATGTTCACATTGAGAAAAAAAAATTTTCCTCTTGTTTTGGTCATACTATCATTAATTCAATCCAAATCAATCACTCTAATCATTATTACGTGTTATACAATTCAATTGGTCCCCAATGACTTGTACAGATACATAATTTATAATTTACAATGTATTTTGTGTGCATGCGACAGTATTTCTATTTGCAATTCACCATTAAGTAGTAGATTGTTTAATCTGTAATTTGGAATGGAGGAGGTCGTGACTGAATCAGTCGAGAAAGGAATTGGCCAATGTTTTGCTATGGGCAAAGATCTCGTCTCCTAATCAATGAAAGACCTTCCGTTGAATTACATTAATTATAATATAAGTAGTCTATATTAAGTAGCACAGTTTATATATATATATATATATATATATATATAAACTGAATTTACCATTTTTATATATCTATTTTGTCCCAAAAAAATTTCAAAAGGCATATAGTTTAAAAAATTTGGACCACTTAAAGAAAACCCAACCTTTTTAGTCATCCTTTACAAAGGTTAAATATTATGTCCAACAAAGTGAAGAAAAAAGGGGAAGAAAATTGGTACGAGATTTAGGCCACAATGGCCCACGAAGATATCCCTTACTTTACTATCATTGAAACGGTTCTATTTGTGGCCTTAATTAGTGCTTAAAAGTCTCCTAATATGAATGAAATCAAAGAAAATCTAATGAAATAATTAAAAATATTGACATAGCCTGAATTACCATGTTTTATTTGCCTTGGTGTGCTTAAGTTAAAGCGTGATAGTAATTGTTCTAGAGGGTCAATCTCATTTTCTTCTGGCCTCTCACGCTTTTAGATTCTTTGACCCTTTTGATGACAAATTTGAAGAAACCTGTTTGCAAGAAAAGACAAACAACCAAAAATTAAAATCAAAATCAAATTTTCATATGGCTTCATAGTCAATCACCAAATCTTGGATTTGGGATTTTCTTTTTTTTTTCTTTTTTTTTAAAAAAAATTTGTGAAATTTCCTTTCAACTTACAAAGGTGATTTTCTTTTGTATTACTGCTCCTCAGTTTCAATACCAATTCAAACAAAAGGATTGAATTTGAAACTTCAGGGGAAACGATGGGTAGCCTCATCAACGACTTTTACTTTTACTTTTACCTCTTTTATTATCAATTTAGAATCTTGTTTGGTAAATTTTTTTACTTTTTATTTTTTAAAAACATAAATCCAAAATAAAAGTATCAATAAAAACGAACCTTAATAACTTAATTGGGACAAGTTAGATTTGTTCATCACCTAAATATTGAAAACCTTTTTTTTTTGTACAAATAATGAAAATCCTTATTATGATAGTCAAAAAAAGTTTAAAATATAATTTAATAAATAATCACATATCTTTTGAATAAGAAGTTTCAACTTCCAATCCCTCATATTTTAAAATACCCATATACATAAAAAAGGGTAAGATTTATGTAGAACTCTTTGGGTGAAATTTGTGAGGATTATTAAATGAAAATTAAAATTGAAAGTCCAAATTGGCAGAGCTCGTGGAATGATCCTATGTACAATTTTTTGTTTTGGAAAAAATATATTAACAAGTTTTAACCTTTTTTTTTTTTTGAAAAGCAACAAGTTTTAACTTATCTTTCTATATATCACTCTAAAGTGTTAAATTTCAAAAATGAATTTATACAATTGACGGGCTTCTATTTAGTAATTATATCAATTTAATTAAATATAAGACGTGCCACAATTCTTTAAATTTATTTGTAAATTTAAAAATTTTATTATTTAGATAATTTTCTTTTAATGTATATAATATAAGAATTATTCTTCTAAATATGGAAGATGAGGTTTTTAAACTTCACAAATGAATTAAAACGAGAGAGAAAGTCACAATACCGAGCCGGCCGAACAAGAGAAAAGAAGTCATTGAAGCGGAGCATCAAAGATATTGGATACTCCTAAAGCTTACAAAACATAATCAGCAATGGGTTTGACCTAAAATGCAGTCTAAATTTTGATCAAATCATTTCTTATAGATTGTGGTTGGAAAGTTTTGCTCTTTTGGCATAACTAAAATACTGTCATCATTAATAAATATGATAGCTTATTCTTTCTTTATATCTTTTTGTTTGTAATGGTTTAAACAGTACAATTTTGCTTCATCATAGTGTCATATAAAAATGAAACAGCTAAAATAATATTTAAAAAGAAGAAAAAAAACTTTTTAAGTTGTCAATTCAATTTCAAATTCCAAAACAATGACTCAGAACAATGGAAGAAAGGGGAATTTTATTTTCATTCATGATCAATCCAATTGATTAGCTTTATGAAAAAAAAGAAGAGATTTTAATTAAAAAAGTTGAATAAATAGTTCATCCAAAGGGTTGATTAGAAATTAAGTATCCAAAAACTTGAGAATTGGGTTTTCATGTTTTATTCTTTCTCTCCTTCCTAGAGCTTAAAAAAAAAAGAAGAAGAATTGAAGACAAATGTCAAAAGATTTTGTCAATAAAATGGAATATGAACAATCATTTCAGTTAAAGTATGTTGGGTTTAGATGCATGAATGAATGAATGAATGGGTGAATAGAGATGAGAGATGGAAGAATGGAAGATAGATGGCTGACCATGACAAACATTGGTGAGTTTAGAGAGTTTACACGAAGTTCACCATTTTGACAAAGAATATTATTAATAAATAGAAAAGAGAGAGAATAAGGGGGATGGGGGGCATGCATGGGAAGCAAATCTGAAAAGGGAATCAAAAGAAATTGGCCTCTCTTTGCCACCACTCCCCCACCTGCTCAGGATATGGTAAGCGCCACATGATTTCACATTTGGGGGAAAAAGGCGCCTCTGCTGACATCACCTGTATCTCTTGGGAGGATTTTGATGGGCCCCACTTACCCCTCCCACCCTCTTCCATCCCTCTCACCTCTCCCCTTTTGCTTTCATCCCAAAACTTTTCTCTCTCTCTCATTTTTCTTTTCTCATATGCACTAGTATTATTATTATTGTTATTAGTATCTATTTTTAACATCATAACCTTTCTTTTAGTACTTGCCCCTCTTTCTCCCTCTCTCCCTCCATGGTCTTGGCATACAAATATATATATATATATATATAAATATATAAATGAATTAAGAGTTAAGACCACCTCCCCGTCTCTCCTTAAAATCCCCATTATATTTATTTCATTATTTTATCCTTTATTTTTCATCCTCTTTTTATTTTTCCCCCATTGCTTGCCCTGTAATTCAAATCAATCAACTTGGAAAATTTGCAAGATTTGGGATGAAATCTGGTCGGATCTTGCTTTGTGGGGTGTGGATTGTGGTCAGTCTTATTTCAATACAAACTCTTTCTCTTCTTCACCTTCTCCCGTAGAACCCATAGAGCCACATCAACAACAACAACAACAACAACAACAGAAGAAAAAGAGAACAACCCAACCCTTAGAAAAACACACAAACAATCTTTCTCAACTCAATCCCATTGCTCCTCAATACATATTCCATCTTTGCATCTTGGGATTGGATCTTGAATTGGAACAATGGGCATGGCAGCAGAGTCACAGTTTCATGTTCTGGCTGTCGATGACAGCATCATAGACAGAAAACTTATTGAAAGGCTACTCAAAACCTCTTCATATCAAGGTACTTGGGAAAATTTTCTTTCATGGATTCCATCGTTATTTGATTTTTGTGCTTTTTTTTTTATCAGTTCTGATTGGTTTTATATCCTTTTGGATTCCATTGGCAGTTACTACAGTTGATTCTGGCAGTAAAGCTTTAGAATTTCTGGGTTTACATGAAGATGACACAACCAACCCAAGTACACCCACACCCTGCGTTCCTCCCAACAATCATCAGGTTTGGTAATTTCTATTTTAATATCTGAGATTACCCCACTCTTTTTATGCCTTTGTTTCTTTTTACTTGTTTTCTAAAATTTTTCTGCTTGTTTTTTGTGGTGTGTGCAGGAAGTTGAAGTGAACCTTGTCATTACAGATTATTGTATGCCAGGCATGACAGGCTATGATTTGCTCAAGAAAATCAAGGTATGCTTTGTTTCTATCCTTTGTCTCTTTTCTCTTTCATCATTGTATTCCCTTCTTCCTGTCCTTTGAGTCTTTTATTACCCGTTCAGACCATTTTTTTTTTAAAGCCAGAAAATTTTGGGATTTTTGTTTTAAAATCTTTCTGGATTTGAGATTTTGCAATTGCCAAATTAGTACTATACTATATTGTAATGAAAAAAAGTTGCCAGTATGGGGTCCTATTGTTGCCACTTGCTTGAGAATGTCAATGGAAAAATCTTTTGGAATATTTTGCCCACTTGCTTCCCACCATAGCAAAATCAGGTTCAACATGACTTCATGATTTACCATTTCTTTCTTTGATTTGCTTATTGTCCAGAACTAGTAGTTTTCATCACAAGAAATAGATCTCAGAAGTTTACAGGATTTTTTCTTCTTTGAATTTTCAGGAATCTTCTTCTCTAAGAGACATACCGGTAGTTATCATGTCATCTGAGAATGTGCCTTCAAGGATCAGCAGGTAAAATGGATAAAAATCAAATAATACTAGTACTTTGATATTGCTTTAATTGGAAAATAAGTGGGCAGCCAGGGAATTTTGATTTATGAGGTGAAACCTTATTTGTTGGAATAACTTTTTTGGTGCCAGATGTTTAGAAGAAGGTGCAGAAGAATTTTTCTTGAAGCCTGTCAGGTTATCAGATTTGAATAAGCTTAAGCCTCATATGATGAAAACCAAATCCAAGGATCAACTCCAAAAACAAGAGAAGCAAGAAGAAAAATCAGTCTTCCAATCACCAAAACACCAACAACAAGAAAACAAAGAGCATCAGCAGCAGCAACAACAACAGCAACAATCCGGCAATAACAAGAGAAAGGCCATAGAAGAGGGGCTTTCGCCTGAGAGAACAAGACGTAGATACAACGGCATAACCACTGTGGTATAACCATATGTGGACAAGAAAAATGTTTTAAACTCTGTTCTTCTGAACAATGTAATTCAGATAAATTTTCCTTTTTATTTTTCTTTTTTTGGAGTTGGTATACAGGCTCTATAGGAGTGTAGAGATAGAATTGCTTCATGTATACATCTTTACATGAAAACGAACAGTTGAAAAATTCCAATTTTGCTGTGCTAATTGAACTCCCCAAGACAAAAATAAATAAATAAATAAAAGATAGTGTCAAATAACAGTATGATATGAGATTTTGTGAATACCTAACAAATGGAGATTCCTTTGGATTGGCGATGCAATAAGACCACATTTTCTTGTGCGTTATGACTGACTCTTGTATTTTCAATGTGAAGTGGAGCTCGCGACTGTCACGCAATGATTGGCGGTTTGCGTGACGTTCGAGCATTGATTGGCTTGGTTTGCGCGTAAAAGTAGATTTAAGGATTAGGGTTTAGGAGTAGTTCATTTGAAATTCTTTACTTCATACGTCTAAACCACCGCTGCCCACTTCCTTCTATAAATGTGTACGCCAAATCAAGCACCACCAATGCACAATTCATGCCATAAATGATGCTACATCGATTAAGACGATGATGATGAGCTTAGTTTCGGTTTAGTAACTATAAAATAATGGATAAAATACCTCACTCTTAAAGTTTTAATCGAAATTTCAAACAGATCTATTAATTTTGAAAATAAACACTCCATCTCAAACATATAAATATCATTAACATAGATTATAAAAAAATTAAAATATTTTTTTTATTTAAAATATTATTATTATATTTTGTAAGAAAATATAGAGAGCACCGGGCTCTCCGAGAAAGCGAAGGGCTCGAAGGAGGGAAGCACCAATTGGTGCTCTCAAAGGAAGGGAGGTTTTTTTTTTTAATTAATAAAAAATAAATAAAATGATATAATAGTAATTTTAAAAATTAATTAAAATTAAAATTATTTTTTTACTTTAGTTATGTCATCAAATTGACGAAAACACTAACGGTTAATTAACGGCTGGACTTACGTGTCCATTGAAAAATGTTTTTTGAGATTGAATGTTCATGTTGTAAACTAATGGATCTACATGTAATTTTAATCAAAACTTAAAAGGTAAAAGTGTTTTACCTTAAAATAATTTGTTCAAGGAAACAAACGTAAACTATATAATGCTTTTCTCAAATTTAAGATGTTTTATTATTTTATGGGATTGAAAAATATTTTACGTTTGAAAAAGATATAAAATAGTTCATGCTTGTTGATATAATTTTTTTTTTCTATTAACCGATAATAAAACATTTTAATGGTAAAAGTTTTTTTCTTTTCAAATGGGTGAAAAGATTATTTTTTTTTTCAGTTTTAAAAAAGGGTTTTTATCCTTTTCTTGCAATCGATTGACTCTTTAATCAATTATTTACATTATCTTAAGCTCTTATTTGGACAAATTTTAATACGAATATAGTATTTGACACTTGCTAGTTGAGATGGAATCATCATTATTTTACTACATGTATCATAATGACTAATAATAAAAAAAATGGACCCAGCTTATGGATGTGATGTTAAGTTGTTGATCAGGCTTATAAATTTACATGATAAACAAAAAAAAAAAAGGGTTTACCTAATAATTTCTTCATGTTTTCTAATACTAGTATTTCATTGTTGAAACTTGGTGTAATACAAGTAATAGTAAGTTGTCCTTTGCACGCGTGAATTGGGCTACAACTGTTTAAAACCAAGCTCGTTTAGGGCCTGGAATTCAGACCTCATCTGGGCCTTGGACTAATGTAATGCATAATGATTCAGACGGACCTAAATCAGATGTCAAGAAACAGAATAATTGCTTCACATTTCAAAGTCTTTCCCCAAAGTTGGATAGAACTTAGCTAAGTAAATTTTTTTTAGTTAAAAACAATTAAATTAAAAATAAATTTAAATATTAAATTTTATAAATTGATAAAGTTCAATTCAAAGGAATAATATGCAAATAGTTAATTTAAAATAAAATGTATTCACAAAATTTAATCAATATTTAACTAAACAGTGAAGATTTTATCACAATTTTTTGCAAATATGCCTAGATAAAAAAGTATCAAAGCTTTTAACATAATTTATAGCATATTGCACAAATTATAGGCTAAATCAATGTGATTTTGTTAAATAATGATATTATTAGATTACAGTGTGATTATAATACTGTTATAATACCATTAATATATATATATATATATTTTAAAGGTATTATGATTACAATACCCTTAGCTTGATTCTCTCCTATATCATTGAGAATTCCTTGTATATGTATACACCTCATTAGTCTTCTTTAAATTACACAATTTGGATTACAAGATTTTTTTTTTTTTGCTAACATTGTATTAAAGTAGGTGCTACCCTCACTTGTTGGTCTCGTTGTGAGTCTTTCTTCTGTTGATTTATATCACGTAATAAGTTTGTGATTTTACCACATAAAAAGGCATATTGAAGTGCTGATAAAAGAAATCTCGCATTTATTAAATTAGGGCTATCTTGGGCATACAAATATACAAAGGCCTCTCCAACTATTGTCAATTGACTTTAGGTTAGATGTCTTTCCTAGAAATTCAACTTGATATCGGAACAAGGTTATCTATTTTCAATTCTTTTCTAAAACCTTGGGCTTATATTGTTTAAATTGTACCTAGCCCTCTTCAAAATCACCAGTAGCCAATATCATAGGCATAACATGACTATTACCCATCACAAGAGAAGCCATTTGGTGTAACCTCGTCACCTAACATCATTGAAAACTATCGTACTCGATCTTACACTATTGCAAAATTTTTTGAATCATCACTTTCCACCATCAAATCGCAACATTGTCACCTCTAATTGCCCTGTTTTTTTCTTGATTTGTTAAATGATGTTAGATGGAGGTTTATTAGATGTCGCTTGTGCCCTCACTCACCTTCATGCCTGGAAAGCTCTTGCCTCACATGCCCACATGTTGGTTGCCCTATCTTGACATCATTCGCCATTTCATCCATTAATGTCAGCATGTCACATCATTTACCATAGTAACATATCATCTATTTGCGACGTGTATCGCCATGCCAATAGCCAAATCACCTTTTTGCTACGTGTCTTGCCATGTCATTTGCTATGTTAAGGCTTTTGTAAGGCCACTACTTTTGCTAATTTTGACCTTTTAATTTTGACTTTGACTTTTGTGTTTACTAATGTTGACCATAAGAAGGAGAAATCTGAAGCTTTTAGCAATTGTAATTGTTTTGACCAAAAATAATTTAATTCTATAAGTCAAAGGTATGATAAGTTTTCTAATTAGACATAAATATTAGCACATTGTCACTGGAAACATTGTTCAACTTACACATGGGGCTAATGAGACTATTATCAAGTTTGTAGTTAAAGATTACGTTACCAAAACTCATCAAATCATTACTTGGTTTTCTAACACCTTTCTTCCAAATATTCATGTTCATTTGGGATTTTCTTATCACTAAGTATAAAATTTTTGGACTTGTTCACTATTATCAATTGTGGACTAATATTCACAATCTAAATAGAAACTCGACAAATCATTGATGATGTTTCGGCCTAAGTTTAACCTCTTTGGAATCAGCTAATGTAGGCTAAAATTAACGAGGATCATCTTCATCTTATTATGGTTTTCATGGCTTTTTGTCTAGGAAATGAAGCCGTTAGAGTTTTTGTTGAGTTTTAGGTTGACTAGAATTCTATATCTTATTTGATTAGAATTT